GTTTTTAGGTGGAGTCGTTTGCACCAAAACCCAATAGCTGCCGCTGTTCTTGCTGCTATTTTTTTTTTTTTTTTTAATGATACTGTTTCCACAGCAGGGGAAGAGCCAACCGATCCCGAACACACTCCCAGAGAATGAATAATCACGAGGAACTGGCTTGAGCAGCGCCTGGATCTGGTGCATGATTGCAACCTGATTTTTCTATCATTTTTTTTTTTTCCAAGTCATCGTTCTCCTTTTCTCTCCCGCATCATTTTTTTTTTTTTTTTTCTTTTCACCTTTTGGGGGATTTGCAAACCGAATTACATGCATGTCCAGTGGGGGAAGGTTTAATTTTGACGATGGAGGGTCGTACTGTGGAGGCTGGGAGGACGGAAAGGCTCATGGCCACGGAATCTGTACTGGCCCCAAGGGTCAAGGTGAATATTCGGGCTCCTGGAGTCACGGCTTTGAGGTGTTGGGGGTCTACACTTGGCCCAGCGGCAACACTTACCAGGGCACCTGGGCGCAGGGCAAGCGCCATGGCATTGGCATGGAGAGCAAGGGGAAGTGGGTGTACAAAGGAGAGTGGACCCACGGATTTAAGGGACGGTACGGGGTCCGAGAATGCACTGGAAATGGGGCCAAGTATGAAGGCACCTGGAGCAATGGATTACAGGATGGCTACGGGACTGAGACCTACTCGGATGGAGGTAGGTGATGTCTTGATATCTCCCAAGCTGGGGCAGGAAGTGGTGTGTGGGTACCAGCGATGGGTGTGTGGGTACCAGTGAGGGATGTCTGGGTATCAACGATGTGTGGGTACCAGAGATGGATGCGTGGGTACCAGTGATGTATGGGCACCACTGAGGGATGTGTGGGTACCAGTGATGTGTGGGTACCACTGATGGATGTATGGGTACCAGCAATGTGTGTGTACCAGTGAGGAATGTATGGGTACCAATGATGGATGTATGGGTACCAGTGATGGATATATGGGCACCAACAATCTGCGGGTACCAGTGAGGGATGCACGGGTACCAATGAGGGATATATGGGTACCAACAATCTGTGGGTACCAGTGAGAAATATTTGGTACCAGCAATGTGTGAGTACCACTGATGGATGTGTGGGTAGCAGTGAGCTATGGGTCTAGCCCCCAGGCTTGGGCTTAAGTCTGGGACATAGCAACCTGCTTGCTTGGAGTGAGGGCTGCTCACTGCCCCACAGGAGATAAGGCAGCATCCAGCATGGCACCAGGCCACCTCTTTGCCACAGATAGCCCCCTATGTTCAGCTGGTCACAGCACCAGGCCTTTACCCAGAAAGGCTTTTTTGGGAGAGGGGATGAGATGCTGGCATCTGAGCAATGGAGGACGAAGCAGGAGGATGGGGTGGGCCAAGCTGGTGGGAGCAGCCCGAGTTGCACATGGGACAAGGCAGTTCTGCACCACTGTAACCTGTAGGATTTGCATGGAGTGGATGCAGCAAAGCAGGGCAGAGGGGAGCGGAGCATGCAGGGATGTGAGGCAGATCCACACAGCTCTATTGCAGCAAACCCTTTATATGAAGGGCCGAGGGCTTCGTGCACACCCTGCCTTCAGCCCCACACTTAATGAATAATGCCCAGGCAAAAGAATTTAATTCAGACAAGAGTCTTACATTCCTAGTTTACGGCTTAATGCTTAGCGTAGGGGCTCAGAGGGATCACAGAAGCTATTCTCTGCCGTCAACACGGCTTAGCGAGATGTGGAGGGGAAACCAGGATTAAACAGGAAAAAAAAAAAAAAAGAAAACCAACAAGAAAACCCAATTGGAGTGATCAGCAATCGCCGGGCTAACGAGCTTTAGGGCCAAACTAGGGAAAACAGCTGGTGCTCTCCTTAAGTGGCTGTATCATCCTCCGTAGCGTTTCGGGGTCCTTCCATCTGGATTGCCACCATGATAAGAGCCTGGCCTACCTCCCTGCAGCAGGGTTTTGGTTTTCTGCTGGATGTGCACACCCCAAGCAGGTTCCTTATATTTTATGGCATTATGGTTTACCAGGATGGCCACGATCAGGGGACTGCAGGAACTGAGCTCCGTCGCAGCCTTCCTGACAGGTGCTGTGAGAGCTTTCTCCAGCAAGCCTGGTGCTGCCCTATGATCAGACGTGGTACCTGCAGCTCTTTGTGCTCTCTGAGGGAGAGGGGGAAGAGATTGCTTTATTTTTAAAGATAATTTGCGCAGGGGGGGCTTTCTCTGAGAGGAAAATACGGCTGCACCTTTTGTTTCAGATGTCTGGAATAATGCTGGGATTGGTTGGGTTTGGGAGTGATCCCTACATCTGACATCCTTCTGCTGGGAATAAAACTCAGGCAGTGCTCATAGTGAGGGGTCAGGAGGGGGTGGGGGTGGTGTTCTGCATGCTCTGAACTCCGGTGCTGCCCTCGTGCCAACCCCCCCCCAGCATTCCAACCCCACTGGGGGCATTTGTATGGAGAGCCCATGGTGCTGGGGACTGCTCTGACCCCACACCTCTGTTGCCCCCCACCCCATGCAGGACAGCACAGGGTGCATGCCAAGGCCAGGCTGCGTGCTGCTCACTGCTCTGAGAAGCTACCAGAAGCCAAGAGCTGCTGCTTCCATCTTGTTGGGCCAGCCCAGTTTCCCTGTGCTCAGGACCAAAAGCCTCTCCATGCACATCTTTGGTTTTAGGAGGAGGTGTGAGATGGGTGGGGGAAGAGGTTCGGAACAAAAACGCTGTCCCCTAGGGATTGTACACAGTGCTGGGAGAAGGGAATGGCTGCTTGGGGCCATACAGAGCTCATGGCCAGCTGCTGGGAATGGGGATATCCCATGCACACCCCAATGCCCACGCTCTCCGATCCCATTTTGGCACAGCCAAGGATGCACTTTACTGAACTCAGCTGCCAGCAGCCAGGGAGTCTTTCCCAATCCCACATCCCCACTTTGGGTGGATTTGGATACCTTCAGACCTTCGGACACCAAATCTTGGTGAACTCTGTGCTCTTGGGTGCAAGAAGGCAATGCTTGCACCAAGGGCACAGTGTAGCTGTGGTACAGGGGAGGCAGCTCTGGGGAAGGATGTTTCTCATTAATCTATTCAAGTTATTACCTCCATCAAACTGAAGTATCCTAGAATCCTCGCCCCAGCATCTGTCACTTGCCACCCACAGATAAATATTCATCCCCTACATGCTATTTTTTATAGCACATCAACCAGGGCTAGGGGATGGGCCCCTAAAAGCACAGCCAGGCTGAGGAAGCAAGATGCCACCAAATCCCTGCCTTTCACTCCAATTTCTCCTTGTGCAATAGCGTGAGGGACCAACCCCAAAACTCCCCCAGCCATTACCAGCACTACAAGGGATGCAATACCTTGCCATGCACACATCCATCGATGCATTCAGCTCAGGCATGGCAAATGATGTCTCCCTGCTCAGCACCCCCAGCTCACAGCCCCAGGCTCTGTCCCCCCACGTCGGGTGCTGCCAACCCCCACACCAGCTGCCCCCACACGCAGCTTGCAGAGCTCACACCTCCCACACTGCCACGCTCAGCACCATGCACACACGCCTCTGCTCCCCACGCCGCTTCCCCACTCCAAGCACAGACCCCCACTCACATGTTCTGCCCCCCCACTCTTTGCCCATGCAAAACTTGCTTCCCTAAGCCATGTGGTTGCATGCACAGTGATGCAAACATACTGCATGGGGCACCAATAAGCAAACACAGCCCCCTCAGGGAGACCACTTTGTGCTGAGGCTCCCTGGCATCGCTGCACACTCAACCTATATCTGTGCATCTGTGGCACACGTGTGCACCATCTTTTCCCATCCGTGCATCCTTATCCCACTGCCCAAATTGCTCGATGCCTCCTGTCCCATCCAGCAGCAGGCTGATATTATGTAAAACAAGAGCTGAGAATTGCTTTTGTTGAATGCTGAGGTTGTAGAGCACATTTGCTGGGCTTGGTTCAGCCCAGCTGGTAGCAGGTTGAGTAGCAGGATCTGGGCAGAAGGGGCTGCGTGCATCAGGGTGAGCACCCATTGGGATGAGCACCCAGTGGGGTGAGCATCTATCAAGGTAAGCATGCACTGGGGTGAGCAGCAATGTCATCCAGGGCCATTGCATCACCTTTGCTGGAGCAGCCTGGGTCCATTCCAGCCCTGGCAAAGCCATTCTCCCCTCCATGTTTGCCCCAGTAGGACAGGGGTTGGATGGGGGAACCTCCCTCTGAGGTCTCCATAGCCCATCCAGCCCTTGGGCACCAGGTTCCCATCCCCATGGCTGTTCCCCATCCCTCTAATTGTCTCCCCCAGCCCAACCTGTGTGATCCATGCACATTTATTGAGAGGGCCACCCCAAAGGGATGGGCAGTCGCACCTCGGTGCTCATCTTGTGTAATGCTCCGTGCCCACTCACCTCCTTGAATCATCCCTTTGATAGATAAGTGAAATATAATTAGTGTTTTCATTGTTAGTGCCGTGTGAGTAGGCAAGTGGGATTTCTTGGCCCGGGCTGCTACATTTTCCTGCTATGCACTGCGATGCAATGGGGTGGGAGCAGCCTCTCCATGTCCCATGTCACAGCTCCATGTCCATCTCATCCCTGCAGTGGTATTGGAGACACTTCCAGGTGCTCTCAGCACATGCATTGGGAACTTTCCCATGGATGAAATTGGGAATTACTGTGCAAAAGCAAAAAGAGGCCTGTAGGGACCATGGAGATGGAGTGCAGATGCTGCAGGACCAGGGAGAGGACGCAGCCCTCAGCCCAGAGCTCATTCTGGTTTGCAAAGCGTCCTGCAACCTGGGTTTGGCTCTGAGGGTGCCTGCAAAGGAACACAATGGTGACAATAGGAGAGCAGTGATTGAATTGCTAGGATGTAAAAAAAAATGAATCAAAATACAAAATGAAGATTCTGACCAGCTTCGTTAAAAATAAATGAGTCGGGCTGATGGTAATTACTGCTCTCATTGGAACGCGCTGCTTAGTTTCAGGTACTGCTCAGGATAGAAGAAGGATTTTGGCCCCAGGGCAAAGTACAGGACACAGAAACCAGCAGACAGCTCTGGTGCCTTGTCTGGCCTGCAGTGCCCCAGGGGAAAACATGGGACCCCCCAGATCAATCTGCCCCACAACACATCTCCCCATGACCACTAATAGGGACTCCTCCAGTTCTGATGCACACTGCTGCTGCCCTTTCACCACTTCATCTTCATCATCTCCATTAACTCACAGCCATATGAACACTCACTGCCCTTCTCATTGGGATCAGCCTATAGGAGCAACATGGACAGTTCTCCATCTGAGCGTTTGAGGCTGGGACGCATCGTCCTGCAATCATACAAACATAGATCACACAGAGCTGGAAGGGATCCATGAGCATCACTGAGTCCAGCTCCTCTCTCCACAGCAGACCATTCCAAAACACGAGGACTGTTTGCTTTATGGTGATTCAGGGTCCCATCCTGCAACAGCGAGGTCTGCAGAAGGATATAGAAGTGGGACAGAGCAGCACCGTGGGGTCATTAGGATGGGGTGTGTTGGGTTTTCTCATAGTTTTTAAGGCAAAATATTTGCATGTGCCAAGAGGGAGCGGATCTGGTGTCCCATGGGGCTGTGTGACATCTGCTCCTGGAGCAGAACATTCTCTCTAGAAGCTCCAGCTTGTGGAATCATGTGATTTTTGTAAGATTTTTCGGCTTCATTTTTGAAGCAAGGTTCCCACCCAGACTATTGCAGAAAAGTCATTCTTACAGGCTTGGAAACCAGCAGCTGAGAGCTAAAAATGCCTTCTGTTGGAGAGAAAAAAAAAGAAAGGAAAAAAAAAGCAGTGGCTTTAAAATTAACCTGATTAAACTTGAATGTCTTGAATCAGGGAATGCTGATGTAGATGGATGACCTGCATTACTATGGACACTACCTGATGATGTAGAAGCCAGGCAGGACAGCCTTGCTGACAATCCCATAGGGGACAATGCTGGGTTGGGATGTATCTTGTGAGACAGTTGAATAACTATCAGTTGTAACCAACAGATGGATGGAAAATATTTATATCTGGGGGGTTGATATTGGTGCTGAGCAATTGATTGATTACCCAAAGGGATGGGAGATACCAAAAACCCTCATTGTGCTCTGAATTGCACAGTGATAAGTGGAATAATCTGGGGATCTGAGGGGCTGATAGTGCACGTAGTGCTGCCAAACCCTCTTGGGTTCACCCAGACCCCATCCCACAGTGCCCATCGTGGAACAGTCAGCTGTGAGTCCAGTGAGCCCTGCAGAGAAATGGGGTGAGAACAGAGAGTTTGCATGGAGGATTACGTGATGGGGGATTAGCAGCCTTAGCATTTAGCCCAATTTCACTCTGCTTTGTGTGAGGAGCACGTTAGCCATAATAAAGGTGCTGAGCTATATGGTAATGTGTTTCCCACCCTTCCTGCTAATGTCGCCCTGCCTCAGGCCTCCTTCAAATTATTGTATAGCGACAGCTGGGGTTGGGTGCTGCTGCTTTGCTTGTTCTCCAAGGCTGATGACCATGCTCTTAGGACAACTGGAAATGTATTTTTTGGGTTCTCCACTCCTTTAAAGCTATATTTCACCTGGCTGCTGGACCTGCTGCTTTAAGAAAGGTGGTGGCTGTCACACGTAGCACAGTGAGCTCCATCAGCACTGGCGATGTCAGGTTTGGTCTTAGTTCCAACAGTTTGAAGCATTTCTCCCTTCCCTTCCCATCCCATCTCTCCCCTCTCCCCCCCGTGCCCATCCTGCATGCCTGTATCCAGCCTCACATTAAGCAATGACTAACATCTGTCACGTGTTTGTGCCTGCAGATCATATTTACATACTCAAAAATCCATACCTTCTATCCTCCTCTGTATAAGCACTTACCCATGCAGCAAACAACCCACCAGGCTGCCATAGCAGAAGCATCTCCATGCTTTTATCGTGGCAAAAGACCTCTGAGATCCCCAAGTCCAACCCCAACCCACCCCCACCATGCTCACTAACCACGTCCCTCACATCCGTGGTTTTTGGACATCCCTGGGGATTATTCCTACCCTCTTTTCTCCTCTCCACCTCCTCTGTGTCGGAATTCAAGAGATCGGCCTAATTATTGCCATCGGATGTCTTTAATTAATACTTGGTGTTATTCAGCGATAAGAGAGGAGGTGAGCATCCCAGGAAGGATCCTTCACGAGATAAACCAGCAAATTTACAATTCCTAATTGCTTCTGCTGGGTTGTGAAATAGCAGACAGGCGCTTCGGACAGCTCAGACCACAGTTCAGAGTTACACCGAGTTACAGAAACAGGCTGGGAGGTTTGGATGACAGCCTTCATCCAACACAGCCACCAACCCAAGTGGCTCTGGCCATGCTTTGGGGATGGTCCCGTGTTGTATGGCAGCCCAGGCAGTTAAGCTCACCTAGAAATCCCTCAGACTGACCCGCAGTGTTGGGCTATTTGTATTTCTCAGTGCAAGAAAGTGAAGCAGAGCAAGGCAGGGCAGATCCACACAAAGCTCCCCTGTGCTTTGCCCCTGCCAAGGCTTTGTCCTGATGACACCGAGCTGGCGGGCTTGGTTTGGGGGAAGCAAGTGAGCAGCCTGCAATCCCTAAAGCTCGTACTTAATGATTTTCCTGGAGCAGAGCCAAAGGACTGAGCAGCCTGCAACATGGCAACTCCTCCAGTATGGGGGAGGGAGGAAAGAAAATGCAGCCGTTGCAGCCCCATAAGTCTTGATGTCTTGTCCCCTTCCAACACCACTGTGGTCAGACCAGGTTTGTGGTCAAGCAGGCAGTTCCACCTTTGGCCCAGGGGAGCCCCATGAACACTACTGGGATGCAGACAGCCCATCTTACCCCTGGCATCCTCCATCATTTGATGGTTGCTCAGATGGATCCTAAGGAAACCTCAGATTTGTCTGAATGTTGCTTATTTGTCTGAAGTCTGGGATACTGCTGCTGGCCTTCACAAGGTATTGATGGCCTTCCTCAGCAACAAGATGAGGTTGTGGGTCACAAGTGGCCCCCTGGCCTGGGCAGCAGGCAGCAATACAGGCTCTCCTCATACAGGAGGGATGGTTCCTTGCCATCACCTGTTGTATCATAGGTTGTATCTGGGTAAGAAAGGCCAACTGGGGGCATTTCAGCTCTCCTTTCCCTCTGATATTATCTAGCCAACTTGCACTGATGAAGTGAGGTTTCTGGTGGCATTCTCTGCATGGCAAGACCAGGCCATGTGTCTGTTGCCACTTCCAATGAGACAGGGAAAGAGACAGGTCTTCTCCTTTGGCCAAAACCCCCAGAACTCTTTGGCAGAGATGAAGAAGCAAATAGAGACACATCATTCTTCCTGGTGTCTGCAGTGCCTCAGCTCCTTCCAGAGCATTTTGCAAAAAAAAAAAAAAAAAAAAAAGCCATCAAATTGGTCTTCCCTCTTCCCATCCACATTGCAGGAGTGCTGCTGCACAATCCCATTTGCAGCAGGGAATGTGAGGGCTTTGCTCTGGGTTTCTGTTTCTGGAAGGTGCAAGGTTCCCTGCCCTGCTGTAGGGCCAACCCCAGTGCCTGGTGGCTCTATGGGGACAATAGGAGCCGCCTGCAGGCTCCTGCACTCTTCCCAGAATGAATTTTCACTTCCTGAGCCAAATGCTGAGAAAGCGCTGAATAACTGCAACAAATTAGATTACTCTTTGGTGCTTGTCATTTCTCAACAACATCCAAGCTGCTCGAGATTCAGCAACAGGACTTTTTCCTTGTGGCTCCATACGGTCCTGAGGGCGATGGAAATTCCCATGGGAGCTTGAAAAGCCATTTGCAAAGCAGCCAGCCTTCCTCCAAGGGGAGCGAGCCAAGAATCCGCCAGACTCCAAACCACACGTGGCAATGGGCAATGACAGCAGCACCCATCTTCCACGTTCCCATCCCCTCCCAACTTCCCCCATCTTCCCTGTGATCCTGTTTCCTTTCTCACGACCCAGCTGCTCTTCCTGGTGGAGGAATATTCTCGCTGAGCCATCATTTGGGATGACTTCATTTATTTTCTTCTAGCCTCAGGTTATCCCCTCAGGACGTGTTCATGTACGTGCCTGCAGCCCCAGTCTTCTTGGCATCACCTGGTTCTTGGCCAAGTCCTGCCACAGTAATTGCTCTGAGAGTCAAGAAGTCCTCCCTGGGGTAAATCCACTGCAAGTCAGCGCACAACTCTCTGCTTATCCCCATGGGCCATTATTTTGCTGCCATTATGATAAATTATGGCAAAATTCTCACTTGCAGGGCAGGATCCATCCCTCTTTTCATCAGGGCAGTGGTGGCTGAGATGTTGTGCATCTGCTCTTATCCATGCCTTGCACCCAGCCCTCAGGATGCTGCATTTCCCCCATGTAATCACCCCATTAATCTCATGCAATTCGTGCTTCAGGAAGCACTTTGCAAGAGCTGATAGCAAGGAAAGAGCTACAGAAATGGATGCGACTTTGGTTGTGTTAGCACAGAAAGCAGTAGATGCTTTGCCTCCTCTGCAATCCTTGAGGATGGAGGTGCTCTGCAGCTCAGGTTGGGTACCTTTTCCATCAGAAGTGCTCGTCCTGCTGCATCCTTAGTCCCACTGCATTTTGCAGCACCCCAGCTCCAAAACAGCCGTAGCTGGTCCATCCTGGCACAGAAAGTGAAAAGCAATAAAATCCTATTTCCTCTGCAGGGAAAAAGAGTCTCCCAGCTCCTTGCGAGATTAAGCTTTGTGCACATATCTGCAAATGTGAGAGGGCAGAGGTTAAGCCGGGTGGTGCAAGGGGAGGAGGTGACAGTGCTTAGCAATGCAGATCAGATGGCTCTGAGAGCTTCCAGCCTTCGTGGCCAAATCCTGGGATATTGAGGGGTTTAAGAGGTAATAAAGTCAGAAGGGGGAGGAGGGAGGGAACTCAGCTCCATGATCTGGAGGTGTCCATGAAGGTATGCAGATGTCCCGGGGGCTGTCAGGGAGGCAATCCCCATCGGCAGTGAGGGAAGCAGATGTGAGGTTTGGGTTTTGCTGTGCTGGGAGCAGCTCTGTGATGCTGGCAGTGCAGTAGCAGGATGGGCTGGCCGATGGGGCAGCTCTGCTCAAATTCCTGCATCCTTTGCTTAGAAAACTTAACCTTGCCAAGCAGATGCAGTGATTGCTCCTGGCAGTCGTGCAGCTTTAGGAGTAGGTTTTAAGGCCATGCAGAGATGACAGCTTCCTGGGCACCTCTGCCTTGCTGCAGCTGGAACCTGCTGTGACCAATTTGCTGCCTCTGCTCCAGCTGAGATGCGCTGTCACGCCTGCTCCAAGCCTGCTTTGTTCTGCTCCTTGCCACCGTCTCTGGTTTTCAGCAAAGGGCCTTGCTTGCTCTATAATGCTTCATTTTAACCTGGTTTTTCAGCCACGGGTTTGCAAAGAGAGGGGGAAATCTTGGGAGCTTCCTGGGGCTGGGGACCAGGTTGAAGGCTCTGATAGATGATATGCAAGGACTTTTCTCCCTGTCCCTTACCCACATGCTCAAATGCAACCAGAGGACATGTCTGCTGTCCATCCTGCTGTCCGTCTTGCTGTCTGTCCCTTGTCTGCCCTGTGGCCAAGCACTGCTCCTCACCCTGCCCTGCAGGTGCCAGCCCTATAATCCCAGCACTCTGCCTCCCTCCCAGCACTAATCCTATAAATCCAGAGCAAATCCTCCCAGTGTCCCTTCTCCAAGGCAGTCTTGGCTTGGAGCAAGCATTTTTGGGGGGGTACACAGGGAACCACAGCCAGTGCTGGGGAAAGACAGCAGCCTTAACCACTTCCTGCTTTTCCCTGTGTATAAAATGCCTTTAAACCCACAGAAGGATGGTGCAAATTGTCATTCAGATGAGAAAGGCAAGCAACTGCCCTGCCCAGCTCAGGAGGATCCAACGGGTGTTGATGGCTAAGGGCAAAGAGCATTTTGTGCAGAGCAGGGATGGAAAGCCTCTATCAGTCTGAGCCGAGGGTGGGCTGTTGTTATCAGGGCTGTTTCAAATACTGGGCACTATTAAGACTATTTAAGTCTCCCTTGCCCCGATACCACACAGTGCTGGACCCTGCTTTGGCATTGCCCTGGGCTGGGCTCAGCAGCGCTGGCTGGGCACAGAGCCTGCCCAAGGCTTGCAAATCCACCCAGCAAGGGCTTAGCCAGGTGGTGAATCACTGCATTGTGAGACAGCCCCAAAAAGATTAAAGCTGACCTAAGAATAAAAACAAGCTCTGCAGTTCAACCGATAGGGATAACATGACAAAGCGTGCCAACAGAATGGGATTGCAACCCCAGGGCAGGAAAGCAGCAGATTATCACTACACATTGCAGTATACAAGGCATGCTGATTGTGCTTGGGTGGTGTTTTCCTACCTGGATTGGTTTCCTGTGGCTCCATTTTCCAGCACGAATGGCTTTAACCCGAGGCACAGCAAGATGCAGCGTGCATCCCAGCAAACTGCCAGTTAGGTAACTCCAGCAAGTGCCCACGCAAATGGAGGAGTTCAAGCAGGGGCACGTTTCTAAGGATAATAACCACACAGATATATCCCCATGAGGCTTTTATTTCTATAGAGCCTCTCCCTTCCGCTGCACGCGGGATGAAAGCATGATGTACAGAAAAAAATACATGGTAATACACCAACTGCTTTCACCACTGCCGGCAGCAGATGGGATGGAGTCTGCTCCTGGATGACAACCCCAGTCTCCCTGCACTTTCCTTTTCCAAATTCAGGCTAGATCTAAAGGGCAGCCCATGGGGAGAAGGCTCCATTTGCCCCTGTGTCTCATCTGGTTCCTAACAGCTAAAGTGCACATCTGCACATTGACCCAGATACTTTACTTTCTTCCTGCATTGGGATACTATGACTGTAGAGATGGGGTTGGGATCTGGAGCTGCACCTTGCTGCTGGGAGCCTGTAATAGGTGGCAAAGGCTTTGGCAAACAAAAATGAGCCCAAATGCAGCAGCCATGGATACAGAAATGCAGAAAAAGAGCTGCTTACCTTCAGAAGGCCTCAAGTAGGCAGGGATCTCCAGCAAGAGATGCCCTCACTTCCACTGCCAACCCTTAAATGAGTTCTGGGAAGGGGTGGATCCTGGTTTCAGCCTTTCCAATCACTCAGGTACATTGCTTACACCTGAGTTGCCCTGAGTTGGCCCTGCCTTCCTATCAGGTGCTCCATCACTGCTTCGGACTGTGACTTAGCATTTCCACTACAGAGTCCAAACGTTCCCAATAATAACAGATCCCAACAATAACAGCCCAAGCAGGCTGACGCTACTCCTTTCCCACAGGATGCATCACAGAATCATTCAGGTTGAAAAAGACCAATAAGGTCACCAAATCCATCCTGCCATACCCACTGACCGTGTCCCACAGTGCCACATCTCCACGGTTCTGCAACACCTCCAGGCACGGTGACTCCACCACCTCCCTGGGCCGGCGTGTCACCACTCTTTTGGAGAAGAAATTTGAACCCGCTCTTTTCTTTTACCTCCCCAGGGACGTACCAGGGCCAGTGGGTCGGAGGGATGCGCCAGGGGTACGGCGTCCGTCAGAGCGTTCCCTACGGCATGGCTGCGGTCATCAGGTCACCCCTGAGGACGTCCATCAACTCCCTGCGCAGCGAGCACACCAATGGCACGGCCCTGCACCCCGACTCCTCGCCGGCGGTGGCCGGCAGCCCCGCCGTGTCCCGAGGTGGCTTTGTCCTCATGGCCCACAGCGATGCTGAGATCCTCAAGAGCAAGAAGAAAGGCATCTTCCGCCGGTCGCTGCTGAGCGGGCTCAAGCTGCGTAAGTCCGAGTCCAAGAGCTCCTTGGCCAGCCAGCGGAGCAAGCAGAGCTCCTTCCGCAGCGAGGCCGGGATGAGCACCGTCAGCTCCACCGCCAGCGACATCAACTCCACCATCAGCTTGGGCGAAGGCGAGGCTGAGCTGTCTGTCATTGAAGACGACATTGATGCCACCACTACTGAGATCTACGTTGGAGAGTGGAAGAACGACAAGCGGTCGGGTTTTGGGGTGAGCCAGCGCTCCGACGGCCTGAAGTACGAGGGCGAGTGGGCCAACAACAAGCGTCACGGCTACGGCTGCATGACCTTCCCCGATGGCACCAAGGAGGAGGGCAAGTACAAGCAGAACGTCCTGGTCAGTGGCAAGAGGAAGAACCTCATCCCGCTGCGGGCCAGCAAGATCCGCGAGAAGGTGGATCGGGCTGTGGAGGCGGCCGAGAGAGCGGCCACCATCGCCAAGCAGAAAGCGGAGATCGCGGCCTCCAGGTAGGGATTGGGGCAGCTCAGCCCCAGGGGCAGCGGGGGGACGTGGGAGGAGGTTTGTGTCTTATAGAGGCTAAGGGCTGTTGCTCGGGGGAGGGGTTGTGGTGCTGGAGGCTCGGGGGATGTTGAGGTGGGTGTTGGTTGATGGTGCAGCCTTGGCTGCATCTGTAGGCTTGCTTCTTGGGTTTGTGCAAAGCCAAGCCTTCGTGCTCACCCATGGGTAAACTTCTCAAAAACAGGATGGATTCAGGCTGAATTGCCCCTCGTGCTCACTGTAAGCAGGTTGAGGGTGCGCAACTATCTCATAACAGCAATAGAGGGTCAACCAGAGCAGTGCACTCACTGAGAGCCACGTGAGGGTGGCTGCAGCATGGTAGAATTGGGATTCTGAGTCCTGGGTGGGACAGGCAGCTGTCACTTGGGAAGTCCTGGGCTATTTTCCCCATTTCTCCCCAGCCTAATAGGAGAAGGGCTCCTGCAGTGCTTTCTCCCCAAATCTTCTCTTTGACACAGCTCAGAGAAACCATAATGATGGTCTGTGCCATTTCAGGGATCAGATATGGCTGAAAAACAGCAGAAGAGGAGGAAAGAAAAAACAACAGGGTGATATCTAGTTTAGCTTAAAACTGTGTCCAACTCAAGTGCCTTGTAGCCAGCTCCCAGAATGTGCATAGAGCATGGTGAGCTGCGGTGAGCAACCAGAAGAGAGCTGAGCTGAAGGGAAAAGGCTCTTCTGCTAAGATCAGGGATCTCTGCAGCACTTTGGGAAGTGGTTTATGAAAGCACGGGTTTTTCTTTCTGTTTTCTGACCAAGTGCTACACGTAGAACCCAGGGCTGTGGTTAGGCAAAAAAAATCAGGCAGCTCCTCAGTCTCCTGGATTAATTGTTGGGTCTGGATCATTTGTATTCAGTGTCACACTTGAAATCTTTATCAGCACGTCTGCTGATGACTGATCTGCAATGTGAATGAGACTCCCAGGCCTGCTTGGGGAGCATATTTGGACTTGATGTTTTCTAGCTGATGTTGGACCAAGCTGTTGTCAAAGCTTTAAAAAAAAAAAATCCCACTCGAATGCCAGGTAGGGAACAGACTGCAGAGCAGAGGAAAGACCAGATCTTTCCGTGTGATGAGAGGATGTGAATGTCTTGAGACAGTGGGCTGAACCCTGGAAATGAAGATCTTTTCTGAGAGCCTGAGCATCCCCAGGTGGTCCCAGTTCTGGAACGCAATGAGTGCAGGAGCTGGGAAAGATGTGACCCCCACAAGCTGGAAATGCTTTAATGAGTTGTTGGCATGTAAGGCTCCACCTCTAATTATGGGAGAGGAGCAGGAGGAAATATAATCAAATCCATCTGGGGCACAAACACCTTCTCCCCCCATATCAGATGGGGAGCATGCAGCCCATGGCCACGTGTGCATGCAGAGAAAGGACAAATTGGATTTAGGGCCACTCAACAGACCCCGTTAGTCATTAGTAAATCTGCAAAGAAATAAATGAATGGGAGTGCTTCAAGGATAACCCAGCAGAGATGCAGCCCAGGTTTGGCATCGCTCACGAGCATCGTGACCCCTTCATCCCACACTGCCACCTCCCAGCTTTACCCTTCCTGCTCCAGAACAGACACAAGAAAGCGTGGCCACACCAGGATTTACTCTTCTGATGGCACAAACATTGCCTCCGGTGTGTGGGGGAGCTGAAAAGCTCTGTATTGATTCTGCCGTGCAGCACACGGGGATGGGGATGGGCAGATTCCAACGTGACTTGTGCTTTGCATTAGTGCTGGGGTAGCATCTGCGCATGACACCCATCCTTCCACCTGCATTAATGGCTTATGTCAAAGCCCCAAAACTTAGCAGCAAAGAGCCAAGCTGTCTGGCTGCATTCAAGCACGCCTGCGGGGCTTTAGGGTTTGCTGGAGGCACAGAGGATGTGGGACTCGGTGTTGTGCAGACTCAAGGTGTTGGGGACTCTCTGGTGTTTGCAATTTGCCAAATGGAAGTGGGAAGCAGGAAAACTGTTTTGTCTGAAATGCGCAGGCTTTCTTTTTCAGCTCTTTTCCATTGTAATAGTTTTTGCACGGATGCTCTCGGCTGCATCCCAGCATGCAGAAGCAGAAGACAGCAAGGTTTTACGACCAGCTAGAAAGGCTTTCACGTAATTAATATGATTCATTTTCGAAGCTTCTAAATGTATCAAAGCTCCCCTGCAGTGCCCACACCAAATTGCATCGTCCGAACTGAAATACAAGCACAAAATAGGCAGTGGGTACATTGGCAAAGGGTTGTTTCTGGGTCTTTGGGGCTCACGGGTGCAATATCCCACATGTAAAACCAATGGCTTACCATCAACCTCCAGGACAGCCTTTGTGTGCGTGTGTGCACGTGAATGTGTATTCTCTTCTGTCTAATAATGTGGCTGAGCTCACTGCGCAGCCTTTCCCTTGGTGGGGGAAAAAATATGTGCCCACCCACGGATTTCATTAAATTTGTGAGGATTCAGTATTTTTGAAAACTCAACGGCTCTGTCAGATTTGGTTGGAATTGGCCAACACGTTCAAAAGTTATTAGTGTGGGAGTGATGGCATATAGATATATAAACAGCACAATCGCATAAGTAAGCCCCATTTCCTGAGGAAAGTAGGCTAAAAACATAGTGTACTGAAGACAAGTAAATTGGATTCTTCAAGTTGTTTCAGTCTGCACAAAGCACAATGTGATCTGCGACACAGAAAAGTAAGCTCATTTAAGGAGCAGTTTGCAGGTTGCAGATGATTCTCCTAAATTTTCCCTAACGCAATTAAAAAGGAAAGAACATTTTCTTTCCTCCTGCCGAAATAGCTCCTGTAAAGTCAGTGGGTGAGAAGAGTCAGCGTTCGGGGCTGGAAAACAAACGTTGATGTGAGCTATTGGTTTTTCCATACTGGGGAGCCCCGTTTTGCCCCGTTAAAATGAATGTGTCGGGTGTCCACTTTGTGCTTCATCCCCACCCCATCAGGCATGAGCCCACTTGGAAGGGGAAGGATGCACTGAAGACACCAGACCCCATCTCTCCAGTAATGCACTGATACCCACCATGTCCATAGGCACTGATGTGCCATGAGCAGCTAAAACACAATATCCAGCTGTTGAGCCAGCAGGCTCTTCCATTTCAGAGTTTTGGAGGAAGAGGTTGGACTTCCATCAGAGAAATGGCCATTGGTGTGATGGGCAGCACTGGGACACGCTCAGCTCTGCACTCACGGTCCCATAGCACTGGAGGGGATGCTGCTCTTGGGTTAGTCCTAAATAACGTGCTTCCAGGCATAATTATAGCCTAGCCATTTGCTAACGATGAGAAAAATATAATTAAGCTCAACGTCCTCAGGAGGAATGGGGCTGCAAATTAGCGTGGTGTCATTCAACTTCAGAAAGTAAAAGCGGGTGGGAAAAAAGAACAAAGAAGTGAATGAAGCCAGGAAGGATGGGTAAAGGAGGATGCTGGGGCTCTGTGTGTGCCCCACACCTGGCACACAGAGGGGAGCAGCAAGGCAAGAAGAGCCCCAGAGTGCTGAGCAGCAAAGTGCAGGAGGTTGTCTGAGCCAAGCAGGTGTTTTCTTTAGAAAATGGAAATGCAGCCCAGGCAAAAGCCACAGAAAAGAATAGACGCGGCAGTTCCGATCCCAAACATTTCAAGTTGCAGTAATGTCACCCCCGGCAGAACGCCGAGCCGTAACGGTGCTGCTTAATGCTCTCTCAGCTCTGTGCCTGCAGCTTTGCAATTGTGCTTGGCTGTGTTTGATCCCAGGATTGTGCTGGCCCTCCTGCTGCTGCGGGGGTGGCCGTGGGGCTCCCGCCTCTGTCTCACTGCAGATAGAGCCTGGGAGGATGTGGGGTGCAAACCCAAAGGGTTGTGTGTGCCCCCTTCCTCTGGCTGGGATGGTGGGACGAGCTGGCAGCTGGAATGGGAAAAGCTGAACTGGGAGAAAGCATCACCACTGCCCCTTCGTTGGGACCAGTGGGGCCACTGATGGTGCTGTGTGGTACCCATTGGGGACCCTCCATCCCTGACCACATTCCCCATCCTTTCCTTGAGGACAGAGGACAGGGGTTAAAGCAGAGGGGATGGACGGAGGTGACCTTTCAGGCAGGGGTAATTCCCTTTGCAGCAGTCTGTTTTCTTCCTGCCTTCCTCCTCCCCAAACACCCCCAGGGCATTGCATCCTTACCCTCTGCAGCTCTTGCAGCCCCTACTGTCCACACCGTGACTGCCTAAGTCCTCCTGCAGTGCAATTTAATAACTTCCTGCTCAGACAGGACTTAGGGCATTAAACCTTTCTGCAGCTATGTCAGAAGTCAGGAGCAGACAGCATGCTCACACAGGGCCAGGCAGTGTGTCCCCAGCTGCCACCATGCTGGGTGCTGCACCCACTATAGGAATGGGGGGAGCTGGCTGCCTTTTGGGTGAGCAGTGCTTTGCAAAGTAATCCCTCTTAAATAAGCAAACAAACAAACCCTCATTTGCTCTCCTTTGCTGCTCTTCAGCCATGACCCAGCTCCCTTCTTCACCATTCCTACCGCTTTCTCTTCTCACTGAGCTGAATCAACCCAAATCCAAGATGCAGGTGTGTGGCATGGATATGTGTAACCCTTTCCAACTTTGCCAGGTGGTGATGGAATAGCTTAGGAAGGGCGAGGATGGAGCCACGATCCTGGTAAAGTGCAGCTGGAGGGGCTGCCATAGCAGCAGTGGAGCAGGAATGGCTTTTGGGGGATGCAGGATGAAGGAGTGACTCAGGATGGGAGAACTGGCTACACTTTGCCATGGGACCACATGGAGAGGGGGAGAGATGAAGGATTAAGAGTGCGGTGATCCCAAGAAGCAGCCATGGGGGCTCAATCGGTGCCTGCCTTCTCCTCCTCTTCTTTTTCCTCCCTCTCTTCCTCTGTGCACAGCAGCCCATCAAGCACCCAGATCACCTGCCTGCTTCTTAATCCAAGACTTCTACCAGCTTAGTACATGGG